TCACACAGAAACTGTGACGGTTGCTCGTTCGGTCCATTGTTGTCCCCCTCAAAGAGACCACAGAAGATCTCTGCTGTCTTTGAGTTTGTGCTTGTTTGACTCCTGACTGATCTGTCTGACTCCAACAACTTCCTCCAGTGCTGCTTCCAGGACCCAAGACCTGTTTCGGATCTGAAATCCCACATTAGCGAAGGATCTTGTCTTCTAGGCTCTATAAACCTGTTTTAGATCTTAGGTTCAAGAGTGCCGAACCTGGCCTCAGATCTGAGCTTGCAAGCTTTTATAATGTCTTGAGTCCAAAAACCTGCTTGTACATCGGAGTAACCTTCCACAGATTTGAGTTTCTAGAGTCCAAAAACTGAACATAGTCCTGAGTTTTAACATTGCAATCTCGACAGCATAACAACCTGGACGTCTCACCTTTCAAGGTCCAGAAAACAATTCAGGAAATCATATTTAAAGACTTCTGGAGGTTGTAGGTTTCTAAATTCTCAGTTTCCACAGCAGATAAATCTGCTCCAAAGTCTGACTGCCATAGAGTTTAACGAGTCCTGACCTTCAACAGTCCAAGACCTGATCCAGAGTCTTTGTCTCTGCAGCCTAGTGTTCAACAGGTTGGGTCCTGAAGCTCTCTGCAGATGTTGGAGAACGAAACTTTAAGATGTTTGATTGTTTGAAGTGGACAGAGTCTGTCCTGGTCCTCATGGAGACGCCTCCACTGCACACGTCTCCCCTGAGGAAATGTTGAGGAGTTCAGCATCAGGAATTTTCGGCCTCTCCAGATGTCTCGGTGAGAGACGTCTCAGCCCTTTTCTGTCCCGAGTCTTAATGAATTTTAACAGCCACTTCCTGCCACCTGTCTGCAGGTGTGTGCTGCCTCGCCTGTTTAAAGCGACCTCTAATGTATAATAATGTCTGAAAGTAATTTCTAAACGTTCCTGTAGAAGCTTTCTGTAGCGTTTCAGCCAAACGTCCAAATATTCTTTAAAAACCAGCTGAACGACGTCCAAAGAGAAAAACAGGTCTCACCATTTTCTGTTCAAACGGTTTGTTTTCACTTTGTGTTTCCAGAGTTCAAGAACAAACCAAAAGAAATACTTTCCCATTTTATATTCCAGATGAACACAGGGGACGTGGAAATATATTTTCATAGATTGTGACAGGATGAGTTTAAAGAGCCAAATAGCCGAATGATAGAAACACTTTGACCAAAGGCTCCACAATGATCCTGAAACATCACCGAGTCTTTACAGCTTCTGTCTCTGCTACTGACAGTGACTCTGAGACCCGAGACCCCAAGACCAGAGACCCTGAGACCCTGAGTAACAAAAACCTTGAAATGGAAATGTGACTTTCTGTGTGACATTTATTTTGACTTAATGCATCCAAACTGGTTTTTAACTTGTAACTAACTTATAAGCAGAACCAAATCCTGCTTGTTAGGTTCGTTTTGAGTGTGTGAGCAGATTAACGAGTCTCATCGAGTCTCATCGAGTCTCATCGAGTCTCATCAATTGAACTCACACAGTCTCAATGATAAGACCCACCAGATCGATGCTGTCCGTCATAGAGTCAAAAGTCTTGTTGGGTCTCGAGTCGCACTCATTCTGTCATGCCACATTGAGTCATGTCCAGTCTCATGGACCCTCTGCTGTCCTCTGGGTCAAAGGTCACCAAGTGTTTCTAAAAATATAAAAATGTTTATGATGTTCTTTTTCTAGAACTTTCTTCTTTCAGTTCATATTTTTCTGTCACTGCCGTTCGGTGGTGAGGAGGAAATTCTGCCAAAATGACCTTTTAAAATGTTTATTGTTGCTAATAATATTATGATTCTTACCTTTTTACTCTGTTTTCTATTGTTTGACTTTCTTCTTTCTGTTAGTTGAATGATGTGAAAATATTTAGAATTTAAGAAATGTCGTGTTTTCAGCTGAAGGTAGAAACACTGATTATTAAACTCCTCAGGTTTCATTTTTTACAGTGGACATAAGAAGCCATTCATGTGATTATTATTGATTATGTGATTATATTCTACACAGACGTTCAGTGTTACCTGATTATTTTCCCTTGTAGTTTAATTTCAGCCTGTCAACACGCTGTAGAAACTAAAGATGTAGAGATCGTAGAGTGAGTGAAGGCTAGAACCAATGAGAAAAGTGATGCTTTAATGTTTCTGATTTCTTTTCTCTCAAAACATTTTATTTTCATTAATGTCATAAAAATGTTAAAACAGCATCCCAAAGCTTTAAACTGCTTTTTTAACAGAAGAGACGACACAGAAACATAAAGAGTTCAAAACCAGAGTGACACCTAGATCGTGTTCACACGGAAGAAGAGTTACATTTTTGACAGTTTTTGTATGAGGTTTGGTTTGTTACCATCCTAAAGTTTCACTGGAGGAACTCTTCTCTGTATTTGAACGTGTTTCCGAGGATCTTTCTGTCTGTTGTCCTTTCTGATGTTTAGACACATGAAAACCAAATAAAACTGGATAGAAGCAGAAAACAGATGTCTTGTTTTTTTATTAACAATTCTTTTGAATCAGCAGCTCATGAAGGTTTAAGAAAAACTGCATTTTAACTTCACTGGATGGACTGATTATCTGGAAGTATCGATGAGCTGTCAGTATATTTCGCGTTTTTTATGTTTAATTTTAGTGTGGGGGAGAGCCGGGACGATTGAAACACAGCGATTTTCTCGGAGCCTAGTCTGATATGCCAAACTAGCTCAGCACATACAGAACACATACAGAACCGAGAAAAATCAGGTGGATACGTCACTCTTTCACCGAGTTATCCGAAAGAAGCTGTTTCCAGTCACGGAAAGTAAATTCACTCAAGTGATGAATGACGAGTTGTGTTTATGGTGTCATGGTCACATGACAGATCAGTTAGTGCTTTAACACATCCTGAAGTTTTAAATGTCAAAGTTTTACAGTTTAGAAGCGAGTGAAGTTTAAACATCTCGTCACCTTATTTAGATACGCCGGGGGGGGGCGGCAGAGTCATCCAGGCTGCCGGCCGGACCACCAGGATGCTCACAGCCAAATAACAGGTCTTCAGAGTAGACCAGGACAACAGGCTGCAGATGTGGATAAAAGAGCAGCACAGATCTGATCCTAATGTGCATTAGCTGTTAGATTTTCTAGTTAGCTAGCTAAGTTATATTTATACTATTTTTTATTAAGAAAAAGGACATAATGAGTTTGCAATCACGTATTAAGAAGGGTAGTGTCACGCTTTCTAAATAACAAGAATAACAGAAACTATTTAAATGTACGTTGTTGTGTTTCTTCTGTCCTGCACAGACATGACAACAACAAATGATTTCTGTCTGTAATGTTATAAAAGGAGGTATATCTGAAAAGTGTTTCAGTCGTGCCGGCTCGCCCCTAATTTATCTTTATTTTATTAGTTCTTTGTTTATGGATCTTTTTGAATCTTTAAACATTTCAGGTGTTGTGTCTCAGGTGAACAGGTGTGACTGATGTGTCCTTTAAACACTGAACTCACTGCTGTCAGCTGATTGGTTCAAGTGAAGCCCGGTTCTCGGGTCTTATCCTGCTCGACCCATCAGCCAATCACAGGATCCTGCTATCTGCACTCTCAGCAACGGGCATCTCAGGCAAAGCACTCCTGTGGTTCGAATCCTACCTCTCTGGGCGATCCTACACTGTGTTGTGGAAAGGACAATTGTCCTCGTCCCACTGCCTCTCCACAGGGGCCCCAAGGCTCAGTGCTAGGGCCCCTTCTCTTCTCAGTTTACACCACCTCACTGGGGCCAATCATTCGCTTGCATGGCTTCTCTCACCGCTGCTACGCAGACGATGCGCAGCTCTACCTATCCTTCCCGCCAGACGACCCCACCGTCTCAGCGTGTATCACGGACTGTCTCTCGGACATATCTGCATGGACGAAGTCTCGCCACCTTCAACTAAACCTCTCTGAGACTGAACTCTTGGTCATTCCAGGCAAGCAATTTATCCACCATAACATCACACTACAACCTGGCTCCTCAGTCGTCACTCACCAGCGTGGTGAGAAACTTCATGACTGACCAGCTGTCCTTCTCATCTTGCTGCTGTCTCTCCGTCGTGACGCTTTGCTCTATTCAACATCAGAAAAATCAGCCCCTCCCTCACTCAGCACGCCACCCAGCTCCTGGTCCAGGCCACTCTGCCCTCCAGCTCTTCAGCTTGTGAAACCCCTACAGATGGTTCAGCAGTCTGGTTTCTGATCAGCCTAAAAGGACTCATGTTCCTCCATTACTCAGTGACCTCCACTGGCTCCTCGGGGCCTCCAGAATCAAATCCAAGTCCCTGATGCTGCATACAGAGCTACTACTGGGTCTGCAACATCTACCTAAACTCCATAATTCAAGCCTACGTTCCTTCTGGGCCACGGCGCTCCTCGAACGAACGCCGCCTGGCTCTGCCATCCCTTCACACAAAGCGACCTCAGTCCCTGTTCTCATCTGTGACACCACGATGGTGGAACGAGCCACCACACGCCATCAGAGCAGGAACGTCCCTCTCTGACTTCAAGAAGCTCCTGAACACTTCCTCTGATAACACCTCAAACCTCTAACATGCACTTCCTGTCCTTCTTCTTCTGTCCCCTCACAGTTCTCTGGTAGTGATGGCTTCTTCCCCAGGTATTCACCCCACTGATGCCGTACGTGTTAACAGCTCTTACTAGTATTTATTTTAACTTGTAGATCTCTGAATGTATTGATGCTTGTTGTTCCTCAGATGGAAGTCTATTTGGATAAAAGCTTCTGTCACATGAGTGACTGTAAACTCACCTGATTCTTTCATAGTGACGATGATCCAAAAGTAGAGCAGAGACGTTTTTATGAATTACCACAAAATGTCAATTATCTGTCATTAAAAAGATTATTAATTACCAAGAATCTGATAATTTTTCTGAACGTTAACGAACCTCATCGTCTTGTTAACATCGTTGACCTTCTGATGAAATGATCAATAAAAAGCTGTTCAGTTATCAGAAACATTAGCAGACTCAGATTTTATTAAAGGATCAATAACTGACATGAAGAACTTCCTGTTTGTGCTGGATACATTCATAATGTGATGAAATTAAACTGTGATTATTAACGTGGCATCAAAGCTTCTCTGAATCTGTGGGAACCTTCAGAACAAACCAAAACATCACCTCAAAGGAAACCTGGGAACAGAACCAGAGAACAGAATCATTGGATCAATAAAAGCTCTGCAGATTTCTTCCTGCGAGACTCGACTCATCTTCAGTGAAGAAACAGAAAACTTTTCACATCTAAAACAGAATTTTACTAAATCGGTTCAACATGAAAACATTTGCTCTGAACAGACGAACCAGATATTTCTGTCCTGTTGGAGCTGCAGGAAGTGATCCTGATCCACCTGCCGGTCCAGCTCAGGTTTTCACACTCGTTCACAGGTACAGAATGTGACAACATCAAACTCCTGTCCTCTGATTGGTCAGTGTTGGTCTCCTGCAGCCTGTTTGTTGTTGGCGGGGTCCGACTCGTGCTCGCCGCTGTGAGGACCCTCTCTGGCAGATAGGCGGTCCAGCGATCGCGGCGAGGCGTTGCTCCTCGTCCTGCGGCAGCAGGCGGCGAGGTCGGCCCTGAAGGACGGCGTGTAGAAGCCGTAGATGACAGGGTCGCAGCAGGTGTTCAGGTTCCCGAACACGAAGAGGGCGTGATGGACGTACTCAGGTGTGACGTGCAGCATGTCTGGCTGGAACCAGTACCAGATCCCTAGCAGGTAGTACGGAGTCCAGCACACCACGAAGGACAGCACGATGACCACTGTCATCTTCAGAGTCTTCATCCGAGCCTTCGGGATAATGTCGGTGCCACTGCGACGCAGGTACGACTCACCTGCTGAGAGAGGGAGGGCTCCGTTAGTGATGTCAGTATAGTACAGGTGTGTCTTACTCTGGTCTGCTGTGATACAGGTGTGTTTCAGGTGTGATACAGAAGTGTTTCAGGTGTGTCTTACTCTGGTCTCCTGTAATACAGGTGTGATACAGGTGTGATACAGAAGTGTTTCAGGTGTGACACAGAAGTGTTTCAGGTGTGTCTTACTCTGGTCTCCTGTGATACAGGAGTGACACAGGAGTGATACAGATGTGATACAGGTGTGATACAGAAGTGTTTCAGGTGTGTCTTACTCTGGTCTCCTGTGACACAGGAGTGACATAGGAGTGATACAGATGTGATACAGGTGTGATACAGAAGTGTTTCAGGTGTGTCTTACTCTGTTCTCCTGTGACACAGGAGTGACACAGGAGTGATACAGATGTGATACAGGTGTGATACAGAAGTGTTTCAGGTGTGTCTTACTCTGGTCTCCTGTGAAACAGGAGTGACACAGCAGTGACACTGGAGTGACACAGCAGTGACACAGGAGTGATACAGGTGTGATACAGAATTGTTTCAGGTGTGTCTTACTCTGGTCTCCTGTGACACAGGAGTGACACAGGAGTGACATGGGAGTGATACAGGAGTGGCACAGGAGTGATACAGGTGTGATACAGGTGTGATACAGGAGTGTTTCAGGTGTGATACAGGAGTGACACAGGAGTGATACAGGAGTGACACAGGAGTGATACAGGTGTGATACAGGAGTGATACAGGTGTGATACAGGTGTGATACAGGAGTGACACAGGAGTGATACAGGTGTGATACAGAAGTGTTTGAGGTGTGTCTTACTTTGGTCTCCTGTGATACAAGTGTGTTTCAGGTGTGATACAGAAGTGTTTCAGGTGTGTCTTACTCTGGTCTCCTGTGATACAGGTGTGATACAGGAGTGATACAGGAGTGACACAGGAGTGATACAGGTGTGATACAGGTGTGACACAGGAGTGATACAGGTGTGATACAGAAGTGTTTGAGGTGTGTCTTACTTTGGTCTCCTGTGATACAAGTGTGTTTCAGGTGTGATACAGAAGTGTTTCAGGTGTGTCTTACTCTGGTCTCCTGTGATACAGGTGTGATACAGGAGTGATACAGGAGTGACACAGGAGTGACACAGGAGTGATACAGGAGTGACACAGGAGTGATACAGGAGTGATACAGGAGTGACATAGGAGTGATACAGGAGTGACACAGGAGTGATACAGGTGTGATACAGGAGTGACACAGGAGTGATACAGGTGTGATACAGGAGTGATACAGGTGTGATACAGGAGTGACACAGGAGTGATACAGGAGTGACACAGGAGTGATACAGGTGTGATACAGAAGTGTTTAAGGTGTGTCTTACTTTGGTCTCCTGTGATACAAGTGTGTTTCAGGTGTGATCCAGAAGTGTTTGAGGTGTGTCTTACTCTGGTCTCCTGTGATACAGGTGTGATACAGGAGTGATACAGGAGTGACACAGGAGTGATACAGGTGTGATACAGGTGTGATACAGGTGTGATACAGGAGTGACACAGGAGTGATACAGGAGTGACACAGGAGTGATACAGGTGTGATACAGAAGTGTTTAAGGTGTGTCTTACTTTGGTCTCCTGTGATACAGGTGTGATACAGGAGTGACACAGGAGTGATACAGGTGTGATACAGAAGTGTTTGAGGTGTGTCTTACTCTGGTCTCCTGTGATACAGGTGTGATACAGGAGTGATACAGGAGTGACAGAGGAGTGACACAGGAGTGATACAGGAGTGACACAGGAGTGATACAGGAGTGATACAGGAGTGACATAGGAGTGATACAGGAGTGACACAGGAGTGATACAGGTGTGGTACAGGAGTGATACATGTGTGATACAGGAGTGTTTGAGGTGTGTCTTACTCTGGTCTCCTGTGATACAGGTGTGATACAGGAGTGATACAGGAGTGACACAGGAGTGATACAGAAGTGTTTGAGGTGTGTCTTACTCTGGTCTCCTGTGATACAGGAGTGATACAGGAGTGTTTGAGGTGTGTCTTACTCTGGTCTCCTGTGATACAGGTGTGTTTCAGGTGTGATACAGAAGTGTTTCAGGTGTGTCTTACTCTGGTCTCCTGTGATACAGGTGTGATACATGTGTGGTACAGGAGTGACACAGGAGTGATACAGGTGTGATACAGGAGTGATACAGGTGTGGTACAGGAGTGATACATGTGTGATACAGGAGTGTTTGAGGTGTGTCTTACTCTGGTCTCCTGTGATACAGGTGTGATACAGGAGTGATACAGGAGTGACACAGGAGTGATACAGAAGTGTTTGAGGTGTGTCTTACTCTGGTCTCCTGTGATACAGGAGTGATACAGGAGTGTTTGAGGTGTGTCTTACTCTGGTCTCCTGTGATACAGGTGTGTTTCAGGTGTGATACAGAAGTGTTTCAGGTGTGTCTTACTCTGGTCTCCTGTGATACAGGTGTGATACATGTGTGGTACAGGAGTGACACAGGAGTGATACAGGTGTGATACATGTGTGATACATGTGTGATACAGGAGTGATACAGGAATGTTTCAGGTGTGATACAGGAGTGTTTCAGGTGTGATAAAGGTGTGTTTCAGGTGTGTCTTACTCTGGTCTCCTGTGATACAGGTGTGATACAGGAGTGGCACAGGAGTGATACAGGTGTGATACATGTGTGATACAGGAGTGATACAGGTGTGATACATGTGTGGTACAGGTGTGATACATGTGTGATACAGGAGTGATACAGGAATGTTTCAGGTCTGTCTTACTCTGGTCTCCTGTGATACAGGTGTGATACATGTGTGGTACAGGAGTGACACAGGAGTGATAAAGGTGTGATACATGTGTGGTACAGGAGTGACACAGGAGGGATACAGGTGTGTTTCAGGTGTGATAAAGGTGTGTTTCAGGTGTCTTACTCTGGTCTCCTGTGATACAGGTATGATACAGGAGTGACACAGGAGCAATACAGGTGTGATACATGTGTGGTACAGGAGTGACACAGGATTGATACAGGTGTGATACAGGAGTGTTTCAGGTGTGATAAAGGTGTGTTTCAGGTGTGTCTCCTGTGATACAGGTGTGATATAGGTGTGTGTCAGTTGTGAACAGCCGTGTTTCAGGTGTGATATAGGAGTGTTTTAGGCGTGATACAGGTGTGTGTTACTCTGGTCTCCTGTGGTACAGGTGTGATACAGGTGTAATATAGGTGTGATACAGGTATGATACAGGTGTGTGTCAGGTGTGATACAGGTGTGTTTCAGGTGTGATAAAGGTGTGTTCCAGGTGTGTCTTACTCTGGTCTCCTGTGATACAGGTGTGTTTCAGGAGTGATACAGGTGTGTTTCAGGTGTGATACGGGTGTAATACAGGTGTGATAGAGGTGTAATACAGGTGTGTCTTACCTTTGTTTCTCAGGTGCTGCAGGTGGATGTGCAGCAGGATGAACAGGTGTGAGACAGGTGTGATGCAGGTGTGAGACACATGTGAGACAGGTGTGTTTCAGTGGTGATACAGGTGTGATGCAGGTCTGATACAGGTGTGTCTTACCTTTGTTTCTCAGGTGCTGTAGGTGGATGTGCAGCAGGATGCGGCTGTAGCAGCAGCTCATCACCAGCAGGGGGACGACGTAAAGTGTGGTGAAGTGGAACATGTTGTAGGAGGTTTCCTGCCAGCGGCGGCTGAAGCTGCCGTGAGTCGCGCACTGAGTGAAGTCGACGCCCTCCACCCTGATTGCCCGGAAGATAAACAGCTGCAGGGAGACAGACGCAGGAGTTTTACTGCTACCTGAGCACAAGTGGAGATTTATCAAGAGTCTCAATCCCAACTGACCAGAATGATGGCAGTTTATTAACAGGGGCTGTTTTTATAATAATGTCTCTACATTTCTGGAACAGCCTCCACCTGGCTAAAGACAGCAAACTAAAGCCCTTATTTTAATGCAGTGCACCTGCTGAATGGTGAAGCGGGTTCTCTGGTTCTGTCCCGGCTTCTCTTGGACTCCTGATAAACTGTTGCAGTGTTTCTGTGGCTCAGTGAAACTGTTTGTTCCTGTGTTTCAGCCTCTTAGCATTGTTAGCATTCCTTATAGAAACCAAGGGGAGCAGTTAGCCCGAGCTAACAGCAGGAGGCTTCACACTTTAATCTCGCAGAACATTCCTTCAGGGATTTCATGTTCAGGGTTCCACTGCAGCTTCACGGAGAACCTTTCACCTGCATCACAGGCCGCAGCAGGGAGCCAATCGCAGTGCAGATCACAGGATGATGAAATAATGAACAGAGCAGCTCAGGCCGACCTTCAGCTGCTCTTCCAGCAGATTATCATATCATAAATATTAATATGAATAATACTGAAGCTGCTGTGACATGAAGCTGCAGCTCAGACACTTCACACAACGTATATACACAGTAAACGCAGTATTTTGTAATAAATCCAACCTGTGAGACGACAGTTCCGTCTGTGATGTCAGTAACTAGTGGGACCAATCATCAGGGTCGTGGTTCTGGGTTTGATGTTCCCCTTGATAAGGTTTTGCTCAGTTATGTGGTTGTTCCACGTGTTCTGTTTTATTTTGTTAAATCTGTCCTCATGTGACTTCCTGTGTTACTTTGTCGTGATTGGTTTTCAGCTGTCTGAATACCTGTTGTGTCTCACCTGGTATCTCACCTGTATTTAATCTGCTCATGTTGACAGTTTCTGTCTCTCTGTGTTTGGATTAATTGGCCCAGTTGTTGGATTAGTTACCTTTGTTCGGACCTACAGGTGTGTTTCTGTATTCACTGCATCTGTCTGAATGTCTACGTTAGGGTCCTGCCTGGACCCTCGGCCCCGGACCCTCAGTGAGCGTTACTCTCCTGCAGACGGTCGACCTCACCTAAACTAAAGAGCTCCACCTTTTAGAAATGAGATTAATCATCATGTGCTGCTTCACCTGGTAACGACTGATAACCAGGTGAGACATGTCGGATTCAGTAGCAGCTGATTGGTTCCTTGCTTCGCAGGAACAAACCTGGACTCTCTGATTCATTCTGTGAGGTTAGTTTCATGAGTTTGATTCTCTGGGGAAACTCAGTGATGTCGCCTGGTGGTTACCTGAGACCAGCTTCAGTCAGAGCAAAATCAGCCATGTGTTACCTGAGTGATGTGTTACCTGTTTGATGTGTTACCTGTTTGATGTGTTACCTGAGTGATGTGTTACCTGTTTGATGTGTTACCTGTTTGATGTGTTACCTGAGTGATGTGTTACCTGAGTGATGTGTTACCTGTTTGATGTGTTACCTGAGTGATGTGTTACCTGCGTGATGTGTTACCTGTTTGATGTGTTACCTGAGTGATGTGTTACCTGAGTGATGTGTTACCTGAGTGATGTGTTACCTGTTTGATGTGTTACCTGAGTGATGTGTTACCTGTTTGATGGGTTACCTGAGTGATGTGTTACCTGTTTGATGTGTTACCTGAGTGATGTGTTATCTGAGTGATGTGTTACCTGTTTGATGTGTTACCTGAGTGATGTGTTACCTGCGTGATGTGTTATCTGAGTGATGTGTTACCTGTTTGATGGGTTACCTGAGTGATGTGTTACCTGAGTGATGTGTTACCTGTTTGATGTGTTACCTGAGTGATGTGTTATCTGAGTGATGTGTTACCTGAGTGATGTGTTACCTGTTTGATGTGTTACCTGAGTGATGTGTTACCTGTTTGATGTGTTACCTGAGTGATGTGTTACCTGAGTGATGTGTTACCTGAGTGATGTGTTACCTGTTTGATGTGTTACCTGAGTGATGGGTTACCTGTTTGATGTGTTACCTGTTTGATGTGTTACCTGTTTGATGTGTTACCTGAGTGATGTGTTACCTGTTTGATGGGTTACCTGTTTGATGTGTTACCTGAGTGATGTGTTACCTGAGTGATGTGTTACCTGAGTGATGTGTTACCTGTTTGATGTGTTACCTGAGTGATGTGTTACCTGTTTGATGTGTTACCTGAGTGATGTGTTACCTGTTTGATGTGTTACCTGAGTGATGTGTTACCTGAGTGATGTGTTACCTGAGTGATGTGTTACCTGTTTGATGTGTTACCTGAGTGATGTGTTACCTGTTTGATGGGTTACCTGAGTGATGTGTTACCTGTTTGATGTGTTACCTGAGTGATGTGTTATCTGAGTGATGTGTTACCTGTTTGATGTGTTACCTGAGTGATGTGTTACCTGCGTGATGTGTTATCTGAGTGATGTGTTACCTGTTTGATGTGTTACCTGAGTGATGTGTTACCTGAGTGATGTGTTACCTGTTTGATGTGTTACCTGAGTGATGTGTTATCTGAGTGATGTGTTACCTGAGTGATGTGTTACCTGTTTGATGTGTTACCTGAGTGATGTGTTACCTGAGTGATGTGTTACCTGAGTGATGTGTTACCTGTTTGATGTGTTACCTGAGTGATGGGTTACCTGTTTGATGTGTTACCTGTTTGATGTGTTACCTGAGTGATGTGTTACCTGAGTGATGTGTTACCTGTTTGATGTGTTACCTGAGTGATGTGTTACCTGAGTGATGGGTTACCTGTTTGATGTGTTACCTGAGTGATGTGTTACCTGAGTGATGTGTTACCTGTTTGATGTGTTACCTGAGTGATGTGTTACCTGAGTGATGTGTTACCTGTTTGATGTGTTACCTGAGTGATGTGTTACCTGAGTGATGGGTTACCTGTTTGATGTGTTACCTGAGTGATGTGTTACCTGAGTGATGTGTTACCTGTTTGATGTGTTACCTGAGTGATGTGTTACCTGAGTGATGTGTTACCTGTTTGATGGGTTACCTGAGTGATGTGTTACCTGAGTGATGTGTTACCTGTTTGATGGGTTACCTGTTTGATGTGTTACCTGAGTGATGTGTTACCTGAGTGATGTGTTACCTGAGTGATGTGTTACCTGTTTGATGTGTTACCTGAGTGATGTGTTACCTGTTTGATGTGTTACCTGTTTGATGTGTTACCTGAGTGATGTGTTACCTGTTTGATGTGTTACCTGAGTGATGTGTTACCTGCGTGATGTGTTATCTGAGTGATGTGTTACCTTTTTGATGGGTTACCTGAGTGATGTGTTACCTGAGTGATGTGTTACCTGTTTGATGTGTTACCTGAGTGATGTGTTACCTGTTTGATGTGTTACCTGTTTGATGTGTTACCTGAGTGATGTGTTACCTGTTTGATGTGTTACCTGAGTGATGTGTTACCTGCATGATGTGTTACCTGTTTGATGTGTTACCTGAGTGATGTGTTACCTGTTTGATGTGTTACCTGAGTGATGTGTTACCTGTTTGATGTGTTACCTGAGTGATGTGTTACCTGTTTGATGAGTTACCTGTTTGATGGGTTACCTGAGTGATGTGTTACCTGAGTGATATGTTACCTGAGTGATGTGTTACCTGTTTGATGTGTTACCTGAGTGATGTGTTACCTGAGTGATGTGTTACCTGTTTGATGGGTTACCTGCGTGATGTGTTACCTGAGTGATGTGTTACCTGAGTGATGTGTTACCTGAGTGATGTGTTACCTGTTTGATGTGTTACCTGAGTGATGTGTTACCTGTTTGATGGGTTACCTGAGTGATGTGTTACCTGTTTGATGTGTTACCTGAGTGATGTGTTATCTGAGTGATGTGTTACCTGTTTGATGTGTTACCTGAGTGATGTGTTACCTGCGTGATGTGTTATCTGAGTGATGTGTTACCTGTTTGATGGGTTACCTGAGTGATGTGTTACCTGAGTGATGTGTTACCTGTTTGATGTGTTACCTGAGTGATGTGTTATCTGAGTGATGTGTTACCTGAGTGATGTGTTACCTGTTTGATGTGTTACCTGAGTGATGTGTTACCTGAGTGATGTGTTACCTGAGTGATGTGTTACCTGAGTGATGGGTTACCTGTTTGATGTGTTACCTGAGTGATGTGTTACCTGAGTGATGTGTTACCTGTTTGATGTGTTACGTGAGTGATGTGTTACCTATGTGATGTGTTACCTGAGTGATGTGTTACCTATGTGATGTGTTACCTGAGTGATGTGTTACCTATGTGATGTGTTACCTGAGTGATGTGTTACCTACGTGATGTGTTACCTGAGTGATGTTACCTACGTGATGTGTTACCTGAGTGATGTGTTACCTGTGTGATGTGTTACCTGAGTGATGTGTTACCTGAGTGATGTGTTACCTGAGTGATGTGTTACCTGTTTGATGTGTTACCTGAGTGATGTGTTACCTGAGTGATGTGTTACCTGAGTGATGTGTTACCTGTTTGATGTGTTACGTGAGTGATGTGTTACCTATGTGATGTGTTACCTGAGTGATGTGTTACCTATGTGATGTGTTACCTGAGTGATGTGTTACCTATGTGATGTGTTACCTGAGTGATGTGTTACCTGTTTGATGTGTTACGTGAGTGATGTGTTACCTATGTGATGTGTTACCTGAGTGATGTGTTACCTATGTGATGTGTTACCTGAGTGATGTGTTACCTATGTGATGTGTTACCTGAGTGATGTGTTACCTATGTGATGTGTTACCTGAGTGATGTGTTACCTACGTGATGTGTTACCTGAGTGATGTGTTACCTATGTGATGTTACCTGAGTGATGTGTTACCTGAGTGATGGTTACCTGTTTGATGTGTTACCTGTTTGATGTGTTACCTGAGCGATGTGTTACCTGAGTGATGTGTTACCTGAGTGATGTGTTACCTGTTTGAGTGTTACTGAGTGATGTGTTACCTATGTGATGTGTTACCTGAGTGATGTGTTACCTATGTGATGTGTTACCTGAGTGATGTGTTACCTATGTGATGTGTTACCTGAGTGATGTGTTACCTATGTGATGTGTTACCTGAGTGATGTGTTACCTATGTGATGTGTTACCTGAGTGATGTGTTACCTATGTGATGTGTTACCTATGTGATGTGTTACCTGAGTGATGTGTTACCTACGTGATGTGTTACCTGAGTGATGTTACCTACGTGATGTGTTACCTGAGTGATGTGTTACCTGAGTGATGTGTTACCTATGTGATGTGTTACCTGAGTGATGTGTTACCTGAGTGATGTGTTACCTGTTTGATGTGTTACCTGTTTGATGTGTTACCTGAGTGATGTGTTACCTGAGTGATGTGTTACCTGTTTGATGTGTTACCTGTTTGATGTGTTACCTGCGTGATGTGTTACCTGAGTGATGTGTTACCTGAGTGATGTGTTACCTGAGTGATGTGTTACCTGTTTGATGGTTACCTGCGTGATGTGTTACCTGAGTGATGTGTTACCTGAGTGATGTGTTACCTGAGTGATGTGTTACCTGTGTGATGTGTTACCTGTTTGATGTGTTACGTGAGTGATGTGTTACCTACGTGATGTGTTACCTGAGTGATGTGTTACCTGCGTGATGTGTTACCTGAGTGATGTGTTACCTGAGTGATGTGTTACCTGAGTGATGTGTTACCTGTTTGATGGGTTACCTGCGTGATGTGTTACCTGAGTGATGTGTTACCTGAGTGATGTGTTACCTGAGTGATGTGTTACCTGTTTGATGTGTTACCTGTTTGATGTGTTACGTGAGTGATGTGTTACCTACGTGATGTGTTACCTGAGTGATGTGTTACCTGAGTGATGTGTTACCTGAGTGATGTGTTACCTACGTGATGGGTTGCCTGAGTGATGTGTTACCTGTTTAATGTGTTACCTGTGGTGATGCGAGCAGCAGGCTGAGGCTCCAGGCCAGCAGCAGCATACGTCGGTTCCTGCGGTGCGCGGTCAGGGCGTCCAGTGGGTGCAGGATGGCGTGCTGGCGGTCAAGGCTGATGACAACAAGAATGAAGGCAGAGGCGTGCATGGCGAACAGCTTCAGGAAGCAGAGCAGCTTACAGAGCGCGTCTCCTCCGTACCACTGCACCGTCACGTTCCACACTGCGTCCAGAGGCATCACCACGAACGTCATCATCAGGTCGGCCAATGCCAGGCTCAACATCAGCGGCCGCAAGTGAGAAGCCAGCCGCCGGCCACGCCACACGCTGGCCAACAGGGCAAGGTTACTGCAAGCAGCGAACAGGAAGAGGACAAAGGTGGCTCCAACACGGAACTGAGCAGCCCGGGTGAAACTGGGAACCTCCCAGTCTGTGAGAGGGGGAAACTGAGAGCTGTTGGAAGGAGGCGGGGCTACCGTGCTGGTGGGTGGAGCCAATGATGACCTCACGGCGGACCAGTTAAGTGACATCCTGCAGAGAAGAAGAAAATTGTTTGGACACTTAAACTGAGCATCAGGTCACATTTAAAGGAACAGTCGAACATTCAGGTAAATCCACGTTTCAAATCATAGATAGGTACAGGAAGTGGTGAGCTTAGCTTAGGACAAAGACCGGAAGCAGGGGAAACTGAATCAAACGTCACCAAAGTGCAAAGTCCAAAACACGTAGGTAAAGCGGACTGAAACAGGGAACCATGAAGCAGAACAACTGAACATATCTCCTGCAGTCTGGCAGGGGGCTGGTCTGGGTGCTGGAGTGGGGGCTGGTTTCTGTGTTGGTCTGGGGCTGGTCTGTGGGCTGGGCTGGAGCTGGTCTGTGTGTTCATCTGGGTGCAGGTCTGGGGGCTGTCTGGGGACTCTCTGGGTGTTGGTCTGGATGTTGGTCTGAGGGCTGGTCTGGCTGTTGGTCTGGTGCTGGTCTGTGGGCTCGTCTTGGTGTTCATCTGGGTGTTGGTCTAGGGGGCTTGTCCGGTGGCTGGTACAGGGGCAGGTCTGGGGGCTGTCTGGGTGTTCAGCTGGATGCTGGTCTGGGGGATCTCTGGGTGTTGGTTGGGGGGCTGGTTTGGGGCTGGTCTCCCTGTTGGTCTGGGGGCTGTCTGGGTGTTCAGCTGGATGCTGGTCTGGGGGATCTCTGGGTGTTGGTTGGGGGGCTGGTCTGGGGCTGGTCTCCCTGTTGGTCTGGAGGCTGGTCTCTGTGCTGGTCTCGGGCTGGTCTGGGGGCTGGTCTGGTGGCTGGTCTGGGTGTTGGTCTGGAAGCTGGTCTCTGTACTGGTCTGGGGCTGGTCTGGTTGTTGGTCTTGGGCTGGTCTGGGTGTTGGTCTGGAAGCTGGTCTTTGTACTGGTCTGGGGCTGGTCAGGTGTCTGTTCTGGTGGCTGGTCTGGGACTGGTCCGGTGGCTGATCTGAGGGCTGGTGTTGGGCTGGTCTGGGTGTTGGTCTGGAAGCTGGTCTTTGTACTGGTCTGGGAGCTGGTCTGGGGGCTGGTCTGGGGGCTGGTCTTGGGCTGGTCTGGTTGTTTGTCTGGGAGCTGGTCCGGTGGCTGATCTGAGGGCTGGTCTCTGTGATGGTCTGGGGGTTGGTCTGGGTGTTGGTCTGGTCTGGGGGCTGGTCTTGGGCTGGTCTCCGTGCTGGTTTGGAGGCTGGTCTGGGTGTTGGTCTGGTCTGGAAGCTGGTCTGGGGGCTGGTCTTGGGCAGGTCTGGTTGTTGGTCCGGGTGCTGGTCTGGGGTTGGTTTGGTGGCTGATCAGGGGGCTGGTGTGGGGGCTGGTGTTTCTTTGTGAAGCCGTGCCCGGCCAGCAGAAGGATCGGCTTTTAAGTGCTTATGTCCTAGGTAAATCTGACCCCTAAAATGCATTGAGTGACTCCCCTGGGTGATCCAGACCCACAGGTTGAGAACCAGCAACACGACTGTTTACAGACTGAGGGGTTCTGGGTTTCATTTGTTCCTGTTGGATTGAAGCAGAATCAGCTGCTGAGCTCTGATTGGACGTCTGCATCACCTGACCATCTGTGTGTTTATCTATCAACCGACAGTCCATCAGCTCTTACTGTGACGGCGACTTCCTGTCTGTCCATGCTGATTAAAGATCAAAGATAAGAGTCTCATTAAAGACCTGAGGAGTTACCATGGTAACTGGTTCTCAACGACCAGCAAGGAGCCAGCTGACAACCAATCAGAGCAGACTGTTTCACCTGTTCAGGTTTGAGTTCACTAAAGATTGTTTACAGGTTCGTAAGTTACACAAGTGACGTTACTTATTGTACATATGTTACCTGACATACATAATGTTGGTATTTTATCCCAAACCTAACCTTTCACATTACCAAAGTACTTTTATTTTGAAAGTCTAACCTGACGTATATTTATTGTTGCTAACGGTCTTCCTTTTATTACCTGATGTGTCTCACCTGTGTTTAATCTCCTGCCTGCCGTCTGTGTGTTTGTTCCCTGTGAAGTTTGGAGTTTTTTTCCTTGCAGGAATATTAACTTCTGTTTAGAGTTGCTGCCTTGGATTTTCTTGGGCTTCTCCTGCACTAACTGTGAGTTTGTACCCTTCCTGTTTTTCTGTAATGAACGAGTGAACTTCCTCCTGCCTCCTGCGCTCGTCACCTTTCTGACAGCAAAGATACGAAACCTGCAGCTATTAAAATGTTGCAAGCGGATCAGTTCATTTCAGTAACATCACAGTGTTTTATCTGAGTTGTTGTAGCTTATTAGCTTATTAGGTTTTTAGCTGTGCAGCATCCAGGTTTCCTGAAGCTCCTCTCAGAAAACAAACTGCTGCTTTGGGAGACACGAAGATGTCACGCAGCTTCAACACACCGTTTATATTAAGACACTATGAAAGCTTATATTGGAACAAGAAAGCATCATCTATCAGATGTTCATGTGATATTGATTATTCTGACACACATACAGGTCGGGTTGCAGCTCAGAGATGTCTGCAGTTATTTTTGGCTGCAGGATCTGTGTGTGTGTGTGTGTTCATGTCACCTTGGCAACCTCCACCTCTCTCTCGCTGCATACCTGCAGGGCATAAGTCCCCCCTCCCACACACCTGATTGGCTGAATTGTCTTTGTGAATCAAAGTAAATGAATTACCTCATCACACACAGCAGGTCTCTGACTGGACGCAGCTGGTTAAACAACAGAAACATAAATCTAAGATCCAAATACTGAAGAGGAACCTTTTAGTTCAGTTCTGAACGATCTGACTCATCAGAGACCTGGATCTCTCGGGTCTGGATCTGTGGGTCTGGATCTGTGGGGTCTTGAGCTGTAGGTCTGGATCTGTGGGGTCTTGAGCTGTAGGCCTGGAGCTGTAGGGTCTGGATTTGTGGGGTATTAAGCTGTAGGTCTGGATCTGTGGGGTATTGAGCTGTAGGTCTGGATCTGTGGGGTATTGAGCTGTAGGTCTAGATCTGTGGGGTGTTGAGCTGTAGGTCTGGAGCTGTGTGGTATTGAGCTGTAGGTCTAGATCTGTGGGGTGTTGAGCTGTAGGTCTGGAGCTGTGTGGTATTGAGCTGTAGGTCTAGATCTGTGGGGTGTTGAGCTGTAGGTCTGGATCTGTGGGGTCTTGAGCTGCGAGGTCTGGATCTGTGGGGTCTGGAGCTGTAGGTCTTGAGCTGTAGGTCTGGAGCTGTAGGGTCTGGATCTGTGGGGTCTTGAGCTGTAGGTCTGGAGCTGTGGGGTGTTGAGCTGTAGGTCTGGATCTGTGGGGTATTGAGCTGTAGGTCTGGAGTTGTGGGGTCTTGAGCTGCGAGGTCAAGATCTGTGGGGTCTTGAGCTGTAGGCCTGGAGCTGTGGGGTGTTGAGCTGTAGGTCTGGATCTGTGGGGTATTGAGCTGTAGGTCTAGATCTTTGGGGTGTTGAGCTGTAGGTCTGGAGCTGTGCGGTATTGAGTTGTGGGTCTTGAGCTGTGGGGTCTGGAGCTGTAGGTCTGGATTTGTGGGGTCTTGAGCTGCGGGGTCTGGATCTGTGGGGTCTTGAGCTGTAGGTCTGGAGCTGTAGGGTCTGGGTTTGTGGGGTATTAAGCTGTAGGTCTGGATCTGTGGGGTCTGGAGCTGTAGGTCTAGATCTGTGGGGTGTTGAGCTGTAGGTCTGGATTTGGGGGGTATTGAGCTGTAGGTCTAGATCTGTGGGGTCTGGAACTGTAGGTCTGGATCTGTGGGGTATTGAGCTGTAGGTCTAGATCTGTGGGGTCTGGAGCTGTAGGTCTGGATCTGTGGGGTATTGAGCTGTAGGTCTAGATCTGTGGGGTCTGGAGCTGTAGGTCTGCATCTGTGGGGTATTGAGCTGTAGGTCTGGATCTGTGGGGTATTGAGCTGTAGGTCTAGATCTGTGGGGTCTGGAGCTGTAGGTCTAGATCTGTGGGGTCTGGAGCTGTAGGTCTGGATCTGTGGGGTATTAAGCTGTAGGTCTGGAGTTGTGGGGTCTTGAGCTGCGAGGTCAAGATCTGTGGGGTCTTGAGCTGTAGGCCTGGAGCTGTGGGGTGTTGAGCTGTAGGTCTGGATCTGTGGGGTATTGAGCTGTAGGTCTAGATCTTTGGGGTGTTGAGCTGTAGGTCTGGAGCTGTGCGGTATTGAGTTGTGGGTCTTGAGCTGTGGGGTCTGGAGCTGTAGGTCTGGATTTCTGGGGTCTTGAGCTGCGGGGTCTGGATCTGTGGGGTCTTGAGCTGTAGGTCTGGAGCTGTAAGGTCTGGGTTTGTGGGGTATTAAGCTGTAGGTCTGGATCTGTGGGGTCTGGAGCTGTAGGTCTAGATCTGTGGGGTGTTGAGCTGTAGGTCTGGATTTGGGGGGTATTGAGCTGTAGGTCTAGATCTGTGGGGTCTGGAACTGTAGGTCTGGATCTGTGGGGTATTGAGCTGTAGGTCTAGATCTGTGGGGTCTGGAGCTGTAGGTCTGGATCTGTGGGGTATTGAGCTGTAGGTCTAGATCTGTGGGGTCTGGAGCTGTAGGTCTGCATCTGTGGGGTATTGAGCTGTAGGTCTGGATCTGTGGGGTATTGAGCTGTAGGTCTAGATCTGTGGGGTCTGGAGCTGTAGGTCTAGATCTGTGGGGTCTGGAGCTGTAGGTCTGGATCTGTGGGGTATTGAGCTGTAGGTCTAGATCTGTGGGGTCTGGAGCTGTAGGTCTGCATCTGTGGGGTATTGAGCTGTAGGTCTGGATCTGTGGGGTATTGAGCTGTAGGTCTAGATCTGTGGGGTCTGGAGCTGTAGGTCTAGATCTGTGGGGTCTGGAGCTGTAGGTCTGGATCTGTGGGGTATTGAGCTGTAGGTCTGGATCTGTGGGTATTGAGCTGTGCGGTATTGAGTTGTGGGTCATGAGTTGTGGGTCTGGAGCTGTGGGGTCTGGAGCTATAGGTCTGGATCTGTGGGGTCTTGAGCTGCAGGGATCTCAGGGATCTCAGAGATCCGTTGTTGTTCTCTATCTTCACACACAAGATCTGGAAAATATCAGAAAGTGGGCTGATGCCTGGACGGGCTGGAGGGCGCTGACCCGGTCCAGAAATCAAACAGCAGAAGGAAGATCTGGGACTGTGCATCGACAGAAAACTCTGGTGGACCAGCACCAGGGATCTGCAAACGTGCCGGACTACAATCTCAGAGCATCGCGGAAGTTAGCCAATGAGTCTGATGCTAGAGGCAGAGCCAGAGTCCCAGTCTCACAAACCAGCCAGATATCAGGGACCAGGGACTAAATACCACTGGTGTGGAGGACTCTGCTCTAAATGGCGTGGTGATGGGGCAGTGGATAAGACACATGCCTTTGGTGGGAAAGGCCCTGGTTCGACTCCTCCTGTGACACATTCACCAACATCGCAGGACAGCTGCTCTCCTCATATCACCTCCGACCTGGTTCCCACCCAGCCTTTCTCCATTCTGCGGTAACAACACAGAACAGCCCCCCCCCCCTCCGAACAAACACCTTCTCAGCATGGACTGTAATCCAGAAGCTCAAAGGGTACAAACTCACACAGAGCAGCCTCACATAGAAAACAAAACCTGAACAGACGCTTTGGTTCTAGTATCACAAGTACAACGCTTCAAAACTGGTCTCGCCTGTAATGGCCGGCCTTTCGTCCAGGAGCTGCCGTCACAGACCACCAAAACACGACATGCTGAAATATTTTCAGTTCAGTTGTTTTAACCACAGCGACTCCAAGAACAAACAATCAAAGATACATGTTCCACATCAGCTTAGAAGTACTAACAGTACTATGCTGCAGTACTGTAACAGAGTACTCAGTTTCCACATGAGGCAGTACACTTTCCATAACATGTCTCTTTGAACAGCAAAGACATCCTCTCCCATCAGGGATGCGGGAAACAAACTGCAACATAAAGGTTTGTACCGGAACAAATACTATAACAGCAAGTACTCGTGTATTTTACAGTATTGTACACACTGTGATCAGTGCAGTGTTTGTTCCTCAGGCTGTGGGTTTGATTCCCACTGAGGACAGTAAAACTCTCAGAGCTCAGGGGGAATCTGAAGAAAGAACAACACAGACGTGTAAATGAAACTCATGTTGGAGGGATGATCAGTGAGGAACGACGAGCAGAGTGACAGGAAAAGGTTCTCCAACAACACCAAAGGAACTCTGATCCAGAGTTCTGCAGGTACTTTGTATGAACACCGCGTATTTAAACGCGAAACGTGCTTACAGTTCTTTTTGATGATCGGTTGTGTTTTTTGTACTGAGAGTGGTGAAATGTTACCACATGCTGGTGAACATGGTGGCAGAAACAACCTGCAGCCAATAAAACACATCAAACTGTTAAATCCTTAAAGTCCACAGAAAGTGCTTCGCAGGAAACTCCTGTTTATCAAAGACTTTCAGATCTGAGTGCAGTTAGAAATCAGTAAAGAGAGTTAAAAAGCTGAATCTGAAACACATCAGAGCTTTGTGTTCCCTGCAGTCTGCCAGCTCTTATTGTGAAAGACTCTGTGTTTTTACCTGATCAGCAGCTCTGGATATCTCTCCTCGTCATGTTCTCTGTTCAGGAACCCACAGGAGACCCTCAGAAGAACCCGGGCTGAGGAGCAGAACCTGGTGTGATCCGTATCAGTTCAGGCTCCTGTCGGCTGCAACAGCTTCTGAAACACTGAAGAGAAACCTGCAGACTGCAGCGCAGGGAGGCGGAGCTCCGTGTGAGAGGGTGTGTTACTGCGTGTGTGCTCCTGTGTGTGTGTGGATGTGAATTACCCACGTTGTGGGGACTCGTCCCCGTATCGTGAATCATTACATTCAGGATGCAGACTTGCTTTAAGGTCAGGGTCCATGTAAAGTCCTCTGAGTGACGGAGACACGGCAGTGTGTGTTACTGTGTGTGTGTTCCTGTGTGTGTGTTACTGTGTGTGTGCTCCTGTGTGTGTGTTACTGTGTGTGTGTTCCTGTGTGTGTGTTACTGTGTGTGTGCTCCTGTGTGTGTGTTACTGTGTGTGTGTTCCTGTGTGTGTTACTGTGTGTGTGTGTTACTGTGTGGGTGTTACTGTGTGTGTGTTACTGTGTGTGTGCTCCTGTGTGTGTGTTACTGTGTGTGTGCTCCTGTGTGTGTGTTACTGTGTGTGTGTTCCTGTGTGTGTTACTGTGTGTGTGTTACTGTGTGTGTTACTGTGTGTGTGTTACTGTGTGTGTGTGTTACTGTGTGTGTGTTCCTGTGTGTGTTCCTGTGTGTGTTCCTGTGTGTGTTACTGTGTGTGTGTGTTACTGTGTGTGTGTTTTACTGTGTGTGCTCCTGTGTGTGTGTGTTACTGTGTGTGTTCCTGTGTGTGTGCTCCTGTGTGTGTGTGTTACTGTGTGTGTGTTCCTGTGTGTGTGTTACTGTTTGAGTGTGTTACTGTGTGTGTGTGTTACTGTGTGTGTTACTGTGTGTGTGCTCCTGTGTGTGTGTGTTACTGTGTGTGTGTTCCTGTGTGTGTGTTCCTGTGTGTGTGTTCCTGTGTGTGTGTTACTGTGTGTGTGTTCCTGTGTGTGTGTTACTGTTTGTGTGTTACTGTGTGTGTTACTGTGTGTGTGTTACTGTGTGTGTGTTCCTGTGTGTGCTCCTGTGTGTGTGCTCCTGTGTGTGTGTTACTGTTTGAGTGTGTTACTGTGTGTGTGTTTTACTGTGTGTGCTCCTGTGTGTGTGTTACTGTTTGAGTGTGTTACTGTGTGTGTGTGTTACTGTGTGTGTGCTCCTGTGTGTGTGTTACTGTTTGTGTGTGTTACTGTGTGTGTGTGTTACTGTGTGTGTTACTGTGTGTGCTCCTGTGTGTGTGTTACTGTGTGTGTGTGTTACTGTGTGTGTTACTGTGTGTGTTACTGTGTGTGTGTGTGTTACTGTGTGTGTGTGCTCCTGTGTGTGTTACTGTGTGTGTGTGCTCCTGTGTGTGTGTTACTGTGTGTGTGTTACTGTGTGTGCGTGCTCCTGTGTGTGTTACTGTGTGTGCTCCTGTGTGTGTGTTACTGTGTGTGTGTTACTGTGTGTGTGCTCCTGTGTGTGTGTGCTCCTGTGTGTGTGTTACTGTGTGTGTGTGCTCCTGTGTGTGTGTGCTCCTGTGTGTGTGTTACTGTGTGTGTGTTCCTGTGTGTGTTACTGTGTGTGTGTGTGTTACTGTGTGTGTGTTACTGTGTGTGTGCTCCTGTGTGTGTGTTACTGTGTGTGTGTTCCTGTGTGTGTTACTGTGTGTGTGTGTTACTGTGTGTGTGTTCCTGTGTGTGTTACTGTGTGTGTGTGTTACTGTGTGTGTGTTACTGTGTGTGTGTTACTGTGTTGTGTGTTACTGTGTGTGTGTTACTGTGTGTGTTACTGTGTGTGTGTTACTGTGTGTGTGTTTTACTGTGTGTGCTCCTGTGTGTGTGCTCCTGTGTGTGTGTTACTGTTTGAGTGTGTTACTGTGTGTGTGTGTTACTGTGTGTGTTACTGTGTGTGTGCTCCTGTGTGTGTGTTACTGTGTGTGTGTGTTACTGTTTGAGTGTGTTACTGTGTGTGTGTGTTACTGTTTGAGTGTGTTACTGTGTGTGTGTGTTACTGTGTGTGTTACTGTGTGTGTGTTCCTGTGTGTGTGTTACTGTTTGTGTGTTACTGTGTGTGTTACTGTGTGTGTGTTACTGTGTGTGTGTTACTGTGTGTGTGTTCCTGTGTGTGTGTTACTGTGTGTGTGTTACTGTGTGTGTTACTGTGTGTGTTACTGTGTGTGTGTTACTGTGTGTGTGTTCCTGTGTGTGTGTTACTGTGTGTGCTCCTGTGTGTGTGCTCCTGTATATGTGTTACTGTTTGAGTGTGTTACTGTGTGTGTGTTACTGTGTGTGTTACTGTGTGTGTGCTCCTGTGTGTGTGTTACTGTGTGTGTGTGTTACTGTGTGTGTGTGCTCCTGTGTGTGTGTGTTACTGTGTGTGTGTGTTACTGTGTGTGTGTGCTCCTGTGTGTGTGTGTTACTGTGTGTGTGTGTTACTGTGTGTGTGTGTTACTGTGTGTGTTACTGTGTGTGTGCTCCTGTGTGTGTGTTACTGTGTGTGTGTGTTACTGTGTGTGCTCCTGTGTGTGTTACTGTGTGTGCTCCTGTGTGTGTGTGTGTTACTGTGTGTGTGTTTCTGTGTGTGTGTGTTACTGTGTGTGTGTTCCTGTGTGTGTTACTGTGTGTGTGTGTTACTGTGTGTGTGTTCCTGTGTGTGTGTTACTGTGTGTGTGCTCCTGTGTGTGTGTTACTGTGTGTGTGTTACTGTGTGTTCTGTGTGTGTGTTACTGTGTGTGTGTTCCTGTGTGTGCTCCTGTGTGTGCTCCTGTGTGTGTGTTACTGTTTGAGTGTGTTACTGTGTGTGTGTTTTACTGTGTGTGCTCCTGTGTGTGTGTTACTGTTTGAGTGTGTTACTGTGTGTGTGTGTACTGTGTGTGTGCTCCTGTGTGTGTGTTACTGTTTGTGTGTGTTACTGTGTGTGTGTGTTACTGTGTGTGTTACTGTGTGTGTGCTCCTGTGTGTGTTACTGTGTGTGTGTGTTACTGTGTGTGTTACTGTGTGTTACTGTGTGTGTGTGTGTTACTGTGTGTGTGCTCCTGTGTGTGTTACTGTGTGTGTGTGCTCCTGTGTGTGTGTTACTGTGTGTGTGCTCCTGTGTGTGTTACTGTGTGTGTGTTACTGTGTGTGCGTGCTCCTGTGTGTGT